GGTAAGAGGGAAGGGGGTGTGTGCCTTGGTAGAGGGGAACGAGGAAAAAAAAATCAATTTGGATCAGGACTTGACTCTGAGCCCGGAGCCACGTGGCAGTCGACGCGCGAGTGCGCACGCACGCCCCCCTTTCTCCTCACCAAGATCGAGGCTGTGGAAAGCCTTGTTGATGGGCAACAAAAGGGCAAAAAAAGGTAGCCCTGGCGGCTTCGTACTGCGACGGGAAGGGATCGGCGGCTTTGGAGTTGAGCCGTGTGGGGAAACAAGGCGCTGGGGCTAGTTGGTTGGCTATTGAGGAAAGATGTTTGTTGGAGAAGAGCGTATTGTTCTATTGTGTGTCTTTTGTGTTTTTCTGTGTGTTTTGGTTGGTCGTAGCTCTTGAAGAATGGGACTGCTTTGATGCAGTTTGTCTTTTATTCGTTTTTATTTATCGGGCGGTAAGGTTTTGAGGACTTGTCTGGTTAGTTCAAGGGGGTGGTTCGACCTCGGCTTGTTGGTTTGTGAAGCATAGGTACCCGGTAGCGAGGTCGTTTTATGATTTCGGCGCTGGCTTGTTGCGACACGGCGATGACTGTCTGCTTCACTTTGATTATCAGGTGTCTCGGGTTGGATCTTGCCTTTTTCAATTTTTTCGACTTGTTCTGTGTCTGAATAGGCTATGTGGTGGTGATTTTGTGTCCTACTCCAATTCATGCGCGGACTTGAGGTTCTCCCACTACCCACCTTGGTAGCAAGGACAAGGCTCAGACTCTCCCGGTCGGGGTTGACCATAAGCCCCAATTGCAAACCAAACGAACCCATTCATTTTTGCTCCATCATCCAAGACGAAATGCTTTTTGAAACTATACCAAACAACACATCTCGAGGCTGTTTACAGTTGTGGGTTGTCTCGTGACATGCTGAGGTCCGACGATGCCCGTACCGTGGCAGGAGCAAAACCTTGGGAAAACAGAATGCGCGGACGAATGACGTTACTGTCGATATTGAGGTTTAACCAATTATTATTGGTATTAATATCTACGCCAACTTTGTTGTCCATCCAACTGCCCCAGCATCATGGTTCGCTTCAGGGCCCCACTACCAACCCCAACGACGCGTCCTACCGCGCCGCCAAGCTCTCCACCAAAAAGCACCACCACACACGGACAACATATTACCTCTGACCAATTCTATATGCATCTGTAATACCTGTGACCCAACATATCATACTACACCATACGTCAAGGGCCATTACTCCCCTCACACACGCCATGTCCGACGAATGATTCGCCGCCCGTGCCCATGTCCTCGTCTGCCGCCCGGGACGACAGAGGAGGCGCGTCGCGTCCTCCCTCGGGCATCCTCACACCGAGCTCCGACGGGAGCCTCAGCTATGCCGGGCACAGCAACAGCGCCGCGGCCGCGTCACCGACGACGGCACGGCCCAAGCGGCGCTCCGACCCGGCCATGGACCGACTTCTGAAGCCGTCCATCACCGTCAAGGTTCGTTGCGGCCCCTGTTGTCCCCCCTCCCCCCCCCTTTGCCGCACATATGCTCACCGTGTGTGTTGTAGCCGCACCCGCACGCCCTCCACGTACCACCCAAGACGCTCTCCCCCCTGTTCCTGCTCCGCCGGCAGGACCTGCCTCTCGGCTGCCTCGACTTTGCCTCGACGACGGCCGAGTCGGCCTACACGCGGCTGGTCGAGTCGCGCATCAAGATACTCGACCTCGAGACGCGCCTCGGCGCCCCGTCGAGCGTGCTCGTCGCCCGGCACGACGCCGCGCGCACCGTCTACGCCATTGAACGCGCCCAAGGCGCTGACGGCGCCGCCGGAAGCGGCCTGTACGCCATGTGCAGGCTCGGCGCCTGGGTCGGGCTCGAGCGGCTCGCGGCGCGCCACGCGACGGCCGTTTGTGCCGAGCGCGTGTTTCCGCCCGCCGCGACGGAGGAGGCGTTGTTGCCGGAGTCGCGACTGCCGCCGCAGCCGCACTTGAACAGCCACCAGAGGAAGAAGCGCGAGGCGATTGAGGCGATTCAGTCGCTGGTGCGGAAAAAACCCAAGGCTGAGCCGCTGGCGCGGGGAATGCCGGATAATATGATTCCGGATTTGAGGAGAAGTGAAGATGAAGCGTCGATGCCTGAGAGTCTAATACGGCACATTAAGAGGGACGAGGAT